GTGAAAGTGAAACACCATCTGGAGAAGTACACCTTCAGATACGTTTCAGATCCATCTTTGACTCAGTCACAGGAGTTGTGGGATTTGAGGGATGAAGACAACTTGGAGGATCTGATTCAGACCAGCTTGGAGAAGGAACCATCCTTGCCCCCTTTGATTTTGCAGGTAGTTCTTGCCCCTCCGGGTCAAACGATCTGGGCACCGAATTTCTATGAGTCTGAGACCCCCCATATCTCTGGTATCTCGTGTAGCTTTGGCCCTTCGTATGGCTATAGATCGCCACTCGCCACATCGGTGGGTCCGGAGGACGTGCCAATCAAGCTAATTCGGAAGCGGACCTTTTTGGAATGGGTTCCGGTGGGGAACGCCAGACCGTATCACACAGCACCTGCCAGGTACAGCGGACCATAGGGGGTAGAGCGGCACCTGCACAGTGCGACCAGTGCGACCAGTGCGACCAGTGCGACGCCGAAAAACGAATCGAACGGAACGGATTGCCGCATTGCCCAGTTTGGTGCTGGTATATTCGGAGACAGGGCAATTTTGAGGTAAATGTTGGTATGGCACCATGGAGCGATGGGTTTCAAAGAAAGGTACTCCAAAATTGTCGAGACGCGAACCTGTGACGGCTGATCGGATGTTCATCGTGGTAATTGGATACGGTTTGTTCACAGAGCGATGTCAACTGGATTAGTGGGGGGTCCTCACGGTTCCTCCCAGCGGGCAACTCACCATGGTTAGGAAAACCACTTACCGACGTCGATATCCCAGATGGTTGGCTCGATTGGTTACAGGTTTGACTTCTACTATTGTGATTTTTGTGATTCCCTTCAACGAATTGACACTTTGGGTATCTTTGGGTCGATGTTTTATTTCTCCCCGAGACTTTTTTGATGCAAGCTGGAGACATCCTTCAATCATCTCGCATGACCTGTTGAAATTGGAGACTTTGCCGCCCATGCCAGATTGCTTACATGGAATTCGTGCTTCTACATATTAATATACTCAACACTTTTCGTGGCAGTTTAGGTGATGCTGACCAACACACACTCAGATTGCTACGAAACAACAAATAGCATAAAGTTGCAGGTTATCATCGTCATTTGTCCCATTATGTCCCATTCATATTCCATTGAATCACCATATCCCCATTCTTGGGATCGGCAGGACAAGTTGCAACCAGTTGACACTGCCAACAATATAGAATATCATGAGAGGTAGCGACAGCTGCCTGAGTTTCGCCAAACAGATAGAACAGTAATATCCAATCGTGAAATAGCGATATATTGTCTATATATATATATATTGCATTTCTCTTTTCTTGGGATTACTACTATGTACATATATATATATATATAATATAATCATAGCTATCATGAATATCTATAAATTCCCAGACGTGGTAACTTTCACAGGACCCCCCTACTGTACATTTGGGGCTAAAACCTCAAAATGATCCGGATCCCGGATCGTGGTGACTCTCCGAGTTCAAACCAAAAAACGCTGGGACGCTGTGGTTATGGGTCAAAAGCCCGGTGCCCAAAGGGTACCCTAAGTTATAGCTGGAAATATGGATGTTTATTCCTCAAAATATGGTGATAATAGGTTTTGACCCATCCCCAAGTATCTCTCTATACACCGTATAGACATAGATTACAGTACATTGCAGCACAGCAGAATACATTACACTACACTACATTACATTACATTACATATATATATATATACATACATTATGCATCATATATGTGTGAATATTCATTCATGTCTATAATGGCTATTGGACCCACCCTGGCAATGGCCTAACGGCTTTGCTGGCAACAGCAGTCCATCGTAATTTTACATTCCATAGTTATGGACTATGTTTTTTTGGATTATGACAATAGTCAGTGGACAAATTGATCCTGTAACAACGACTGCCTTTTCACCATTCTCAAGCTTCATGCCCCCCTGGTTCGACGTGGATTTGAGGGTTGTGGCCTTAGGTTCAGGTACCTTCAGGTTCGGTTTGGTTTGCCCGGCTCACTGTGGTGCATCCCTTCCTTGCCTGTTTGGCCTTGTCCCTGTCTGGTCTGTGTCTTGGGGTGGTTTCGACTTCGGGTTTTGGATTTTACCTGTTTTCCTGGGTTTTCCACAACTCTTCTGTCACTCCACCGCCTCCTCTACCCACTTGTCGCCCCAGGGCTCTTTCTAGGCTCTTGCCTATCTGTATGAGCACCCACTCCATACTGGTCAGCGCCATTAGGAGTGCGGTTGCCAGCCTTAGGGCTATTGCCAGCAGTCTTGAGGCTGCCTTGGACGGAGCTGAGGCCGTATCCTCTGCCTTTGCTGGCCCTGAGGCCCCTGTGACAGTAGCCTCACTGGAATTGGACTTAGAGGCATCTGCTATCTCTGCGTTTTCCGCTGGGGCCTCTTCTGGACCTTCAGCTTCCCGCGTTTCAAGCCACGACGAGATTGCTCAGCTTCTTACTGCTGCCCCTCCTGCTTGTCACCAAATCTGTGCCACTTTGCAGTGCCCCCCTGAGGAGAAGAGGTCCAGAACCCAGAGAGCCTGGGAAGCTGGTCTGTGGGCAAAGGCCACTCTCACAGGACAGATCGACCGTCCTAGGCCTACCCCCAAGCTTGACAAGAGGCCCACTGTCTACGTCATCTTGCGGGCTCCTGGCATCTCTCGCCCCACCAGGGTATCTACCTCTTCAGAATACTTTCAACTCATTCCCAGGTTCACGCCTGATTCCGTCTCTCACTCATTCCCCTCACTGGCAGAGGGAAAGGTGTACTGCCTGGCCGCGGAAGTTGACTTTCCTGAACAAAGGTCTCAATGATGGAGGCACCTACGGAAGTGTTTCGGAGCTTGGAGGAGGTCCGAACTCTCGACCAAGGGCCAGTCCCTACCTATGTTGTGCAGCTCCCGGAGGTAGTAGATGCGGCAACAGACTCGACTCTCCCTTCCATGGAGGTTCTGGCTATTCCTGTGCTCTCTCGGAGCTCTGGTGTTCTGATGGCTCTGCCGGCCGACTCCCTTCCTCCAGAGGTGGCCTATCCTGTGGATCCTCCTCTGCCTCAGGCACTGATAGGACCAGTCAAGGAGATTTTGGTGACAGCCGCTGCGGACGACGAAGAAAGCCTGGAGAAACATTTAGACTTGCAGCTTCAATGTATGCTGGTGGACTTCGATGTTGCCATCCTTCCCAAGCTACGGCGGTTAGACCCGGTCACCGAGGGGCCAGGGATCCACTGTTTCTCGACAGGAGATGTGGACATTTTCCCTTCTTCCCAGGAGTTGTTGACCGCGACCTATGCCTGGATTCAAGAGGAGCAGGAAGGCAGGGTAGGCTACTACTCGGCTATGGAGGAGCTTCCCCCAGAAAACCCCAGAGGAGTCCCGAAGCAAGCAACGGCCAAAGCCAAGCAGAAGGCAGCAGCAGCCCCAAAGAGAGTTTCCACTGCGACCCTCTCCCAACAGCTGGCTGTTCTAGCCGAGTCCATTCCAGCCCTATCTTCATCATTAGTCGAGATGCAGAAGAGACAAGACAGCCTGGAACAGGCCCTGTCCCGTCGTCCGGCAGCCCCTCCCCCTGCTCCTCATCGGTTGGATTTTGGTCAGACAGGTCAGTCTCCCAAAAGGACCATTCCCCCTCCTTCCAAGTTTCTCGCAGCGGTTGGTCCCCCCCCAAAGTTGAGGAGCCCTCAGAAGCCCCAGAAGGTGGAGGAGATGCCAGAGGACGAGCCCCAGGGGCTTTTGGAGGAGTTGGAGGATGTCCCACCCGAGGAGCAACAACATACCGTGTCACAGATGCTGGTGAAGCAGCAAGTGGCCCTCAACTCCCTTGTGGCTCATCTTGCAAGTCAGGATGGACTTCACGACCTAGGGGTATCAGGATCAGCCTCTTCAAGCATCTCCCTGAAAGGTTCAGCCAAGCGAGAACGTTTGCTCTCAGACCTGGCCGCCAGGCGCAGCGACTTCTTCTTGAAGGTTGCACAGAACGCCCACAGGCGTCTCAAGCCCGCAGAAGCGGTGCCCCAAGCCCTCGAGGAGTTTCCCCAGAAGGCCCTCTTCACCAAGTACCTGGAACGACAGGGAGGATACACAGGTTATCAACGAGAGCAAGGGCTTACCATGTGGCTGCTGGGTCACGTAGCAGATCAGATGCTGCTAGGAGATGTGAAGGGCGCCCAGGAGATGTTGGCCTTGGCGATGGTAGCAATAGAGCAGAGTGCTATGGACAATGGCAAGTGGGAGATAGCATGGGTGTTAGCACTTCAAGAAGATCCCCCCCATCAGCTCTTTGCTCACCGCCCCATAGCAACGAACCCCAGGCTGAGGGCCTTCAGCCCCCTGTGCCCTGCCGACTGGGGAGCCATAGCTCTTGCCTACGTCAAGGAGCTGGATCTTCTCTCCAGCAGGAGACAGGAGGCTCTTCCCAAGAAGCAAGGTGGTGGGAGGCAGGAGGAGGAAGCAGCCGACCCTACAAAGAAGCCAAAGCAGCCCACGTTCCCCCGAAAGCCAAAAGCACAAGGAGGGCAGAGCTCAACAGAGACTGCATGAAGCAAGCTTCACTGGGCATCACAAAGCTGAGCCCTTGTTCCCTCAGGATCGTCCCAATGGCAAGGCCTAGTCTAACCTCTTGGAATTTGGTTTTCCTTTTCCCCTGCGAGGCCGCTGGACTTGTGGCCAAAGATCCGCCCCCTAATTGGTCTTCACTTCAGACCTTGTCCTTCCTGCGTTGGACTTCCACCTTGTGTCGTCAAGTGCTCCGCAGCTGCATTCCACTTGCCCATTTCCTGTGGCAAACTCTCCACATGACCAGAATGCCCGAAGAGGCTTCTGTAAAAGCTTTGTTCCCAATCCCCTTGCCTGAGGAAGGAGTCCTTACAGTTTCTAGCGGTGCGGGGTCCAGAGAGAAGTGGAGGAGATTTTTTGACCAGGTGGTTCATATCACTTTGATGGCCTTGAATCTCTGGTATTTCGGTTACGAGTTTCCCCCTCTCTCTCAGTTGACTTTGGCACTTTCTTCTCCTCAAGCGAGAGTCCTTGATGGAATTTGGAATGTGGTCGAGGCTTTCGGTAGCTGTGAGGATAAGTTCCAGATCCCTCTCAGTGGCCGAAAATGTTCTTTTTTGGTTTTCCAGCTGGCTGACTTAAGTGACCTGGTTTCTTGGGAGGGCCATGCTGGTGCGTCCTACTCTGGCGGTTTCAAAGGTTCCGAAGAGTCCTTGGAGTCGCTTGTGCATGTGCCTGCCGATTTGTTTGGAGCGCCTGAATTAATACCTTGCAGCAGCCTGAATTTAGACCGCCTGAAGATCGCCGGAAGTGCTCAGTGGGGTCCTCCTTTTCACATGTCAGACTCTTTAAGGATGGCTTTTTGCGAATCTGTTTTTGTGAGATGGACACGAAACCAAAGGACTCCTGATGCGCCCGACTTGTACAAAGAAGATTATCAGGCAGTAAGGGGCTGGTTGATGATTTGGGATGCCAAAGGTTTGTTTTGCTTGCGTGATGAGCCCCTGCAGGAAGAGGAAGCTGACCTCTCCTTGAAGTTCTCCAATTGCCATAAGAACTTGGACTTAGATCGTTTGACCAAAAGTCCCAGGTCGAAGAATTTTGTCGAGGGCACCATCCCGGGTGCCTCCCAGTGCTTCCCACCGGCTTTGATGCGGGCCGACCTTGAGCTGAGGCTAGCTGGTGACAGGGTCCGCATTTTTGTGTCAGATGGTAAGGATTTCTATTCCCAGATGAAGGTCACACCAGAACGTTTGGCCACTAATGCTCTCTGGCCTTCAATTTTCTGAGAAGAGCGTGAGGGTACGATAGACTTGGTGTCTTGGTGTGAAAAGAACCTGGAATGGGAGAAGTATGACCGCTTGACACATGTGGGCCTCTCCAAGCCTGATAGTTTGCTTAGGCCACAAGAGCGGCAAGACATGCCTGACATGTTTCAAGGCTGCTTTTCCAATATGCTCCAAGGCGACCGTCTTGGTGTTGAGTTTGCAGTTGATGCCCATAGGAATCTGCTTAGGAGCCATGGACTTTTGCATGACCGTGATGAGCTCAGAGCAGATAGACTTTCCCAGGGTAGGCATCTCGCTCCGGGCCCGGTCATCGAGAACTTTTATGCTGTTTCAGTTCAACACTGTTCAAACAAGCTTGAAGCATCACTAGCTAGCCAGCTTTCCCAGGTTGCCATGAAAGCATATGATAACCGGAAGTTGTTTGGTTCAGCTGAGAATGATGCAGTAGGCGCTGACGAAGACGCAAGTTTCAAGTTTGTTGACAGAAACGACGTGTCAGGAGACGATCCACGTGTGTTGTCCTTGTCCCATGTCTCCCGACTCAGCCAGAGCTTTTTGGAGATCAGGTTTGAGAAGGAGGGCCCACAAGTTAGCTATGATTCCCTTGGCCCAGAGACCTTGACTGGAACGACTCTGGTCTGGCGCGCCTTGGTCTTGAATGACTTGGTAAGTGACTCAGGGTCCCCAAGACGTCTTGAACACCTGCGCAGAAACAAGATGCGTCGTTTGGAAGAAATGCAAAGGTTGCTGGAAATGATTGAGATCTTCCAGGAGCCACAGGCAGCAGGCCTTGAGGGCCCACTCCGCAATGAGGTTTTGCTCAATGCTTGTTGGAGGCCAGTCGCCTTTTGGACTTTGAAGAGACCAATGCATAGCAGTGGCCTTGAGACTCGTCTTGGTTCTGCCCTCACGGAGATGCTTATCTTTTTCAACTTAGAGTTTCCTCAGGTTATGGCCTTGGACTCAAACGTTGGATTTTTTGTCTCAGTAAAGAGCTTCCCTCCGCCTTATGGACTTAGACCTTGCGTGCAAAAGACAGGGGCCTTTGTCGTTGTTGGGCATCTAAACCTGGCCTACCAGTTTGCCACCACACGTCTGAATCCAGCTGATCATCCATCTAGGGGAAACATGATTCCTGAGCCTTCCCAACAAGCTTGGCCTCCTGAATTTCTCTTTGAGGAGTCTCTTCAGGAATGGTTGGGTTCTGAGCGGAGTTGGCGTTTTGCCCATGTCAGTGTTAAGCACTTTCCTTACTTGAGCCAATCTGCATCTCACTCCGTCCTTCGCTGTGTGTTTGACTGTGGCTCGACTTTGGGTTACCCGGGAGGAGGTCCTTTGTCTGTCAGCGGTTCAACTCGGTTGGTTTGGATTTGGTTTGGACTTGCCATCAGTTTCCTCTCAACCTTTTCTCAGTGGGCCGGGTGTGTCTCTGTCTGGGCTCCTTGTCGAAGGTCTATGCGGGCCCCTGCCAGGTTTTGGATTTCCGTTGGACTTGTCCTACAGGTTCAGGTAGGTTCATGTGTGAGCCATGGCCCTGCGCTGAGCTTCCGGTACCCTGGCGATGTGAGAAGTGCAGCACTGCACGGTGCATCAGACCTTCCGGAAGGGAGTCCTGTTTTTGGTAAGACACAGGTCTGCAGAGACAGACATTCGTCTGACTTCGACAGCTGGCTTCATGATAATGGGTCGTACCTGGAAAAATTGACTGGACCTACAGAGGTTGACTTTGAGTTTCTCAACTTACAGCTTGAGAGGTATGGCCAGTCTTTGTATTTGCCAGGACGGCCTTACGGCCGCTACGCTGAGACAAACAATAGAGTTTCCGCGAGAAGACAAAGGGTCCAGCGCATGCTGAAACAGGCATGGGGTCTGACCTATGCCAGGGTCAGACATGAACCTCAAAGCCCTCATGTAGCGTTTCTTTGGCAAGCACCTCTTAGCATGACTATCACAGCTTTTTACTGGGGATGGTTGGGAGAAGCAGGAATTTTGGCGTTATCCACGGATGGTCTCTCAAGGATCGGAGAAGCTACGACAGCTGCCCGAAAGCAACTGGTCCGATTTCGAGACATCGAGTATACCGTTGAATTTTTTCTGCTGCAGATTGATGAACCAAAAATGAGATTCCGTGCCTCAGGGCAACAGGTGGCAAAAGTTGATCAACCCCAATTGAATGCCGTGATATATCTGGTTTTAGGCCGATTGTGCTCTCATCAGCGCCTATGGCCGTTTTCAGGACAAATCATGAGATCAAGGTTCCGAAAACTTTTGTCTGCAAATGGCCTGGAGCGAGTGCCTCGAAGTATTTCCAAGGGCCTTGACTTGGGAAGCCTTCTTGCTGGAGGAGCCTTTCGGCTGATGCTGGTGAAGGACAACCCAGACCTCACACGCAGGAGAGGCAGATGGTGTACAATCAAAATAAATGAGATAGAAGTGCAGGAGGTGTCAGCGATTCAATTCACCTCACATTTGCCAAAGGATGCATTGAAACAGATTCCTGATGGGGTCGCAATTTTTCTTTGGATGCTTGCGCATGTACAGAGTTTAATTAGGATGCAGATGCCACCAACCGTCTGGCCAATTCTGTCCAGGAAGAAGCAACCAAGTTTGAAACGAATGGGTGATGCAGTGGTTTTTAACCGGATGAAAATGTTGGGCGTTGATTTGACACTTTTGGCTGCAAACGGCCGTGTCATTACTCCTGCAGCATGTGGAGAGAAAAGATGAGTGACTGGCTTGAGTTGTTGATCCTGTAACAACGACTGCCTTTTCACCATTCTCAAGCTTCCCATATCCCACTCCACCCTTTGCTTCTTCCTGGGGTGTTGATTTGACACTTTTGGCTGCAAACGGCCGTGTCATTACTCCTGCAGCATGTGGAGAGAAAAGATGAGTGACTGGCTTGAGTTGTTATAAAATATTACTGTAACGGAATCCATTGATTAGTCCAGAACCGATATAATTTTGTTGTCGGACTAATTTATGGATCACATTCATATGACCCAGACAGGTCATGGGCAAATCCTTAGCTGTTTCGATTGGGGATGAAGTGATACGTTCTATCTTGCGATGCTGCGATGCAACATAGTTTGTTAACTCAACATTATATAGTCAATAGTCGGTCGACATTTAGCTTCTCTGTGACCCTGGGGTCACATATTCCATCACATCACTTCGACCAAATGTGGCACCTTCAAAGTCGTATCTTGTACTATTCATACTGGCAAAAGCAGAGGCTCAACAGGAACTTTATCCGGATGACAGCAGCAGAAATCAAAAGCAAAACAAACACATGCAGACAGTAAATTTTGTCGCAAACTCAAAATTCTAGCGAGCGCTTTTTGCTGACTGCGCCGGTTTTTCTGCTGCGTTGAGTGTGTTGAGACGTTGAGGACGGATAGTAAGAGGTTGCATCTGAGTGGAAAAGGCAAGGGAACATTGTTCAAATCAGTGTGCGGATTTGTTTGCTCCTATGTAGGATTAGTTGAACGTAACTTCCACAGGACACCCCCTATCGTTGGGTTCCTGTCAATTTTTCCAACTAAACCAGTCCGTTGACCTTTAGAAATCCAGTAGCGTAGCTGACCTCAGTCTATTCACAACATTTGAAGTTCTGTTGAGGGGACCCTAACATCATCAAACATTGGTCATTTACGTCATTTTGAATCGGGAAACCAAACCCTTGGAGTGTCCAGATTTTGAGAACCGCCTTTTTCCGCAAGAGGAACAAAGCGGAATCCTATCTCCACAACCAACAGCATCTCAGGGGAACTACGAGGGGGGAACTATCATATTTGAGTGGTGGGCAAACATAGGGGTTTGTCGTGAAGTTCAAGCAAGAGATCATGTTATCACTTAATACTGTCTTTGGAAGGTATATCATCCAATTTGGAGGTTTCCTAAAATGAGGGTACACCTAAATCATCCATTTTATTTTTGGGTTTTCCATTATAAAACATCCATTAATAGGGGTACCCCCATTTTAGGACACTCCCATTTGAAAGGACCAACCATCGCAGGAAATCTAATTACTCACGACGTGTGCAATCAACCATTGATGGTGACCTTGTCGCTAGTAAGTTGGATAACAGCACGCTGCCAACGTGATTTCATGAGTTGCTTGAAGATTTATGTTTCTCCAATCTTATTGAACTTAGTTATCCCTTCCCCCATCTTCCCCTAATATTAAACAACCAAACCATGATTTAGAAGGGGGATTTACGCATATCTGGGACCTTTTGGGGTTTCTAATATGGGTCCAAAGTGTCCATGCCATTCGCAGGATTTCCTCCGTGCAGAGCCACCCATGACGGGTTTTGGGGCAGACCCTTGGTCGCTGGGCTGGAAAATATCCCGTTACCTGAACCAAACATATTTAAATTAACATAAAATAACTATGTGGATGGGTTGATTCAAGGAGTTCTACTGTTATGCCTATGTGGCTTCTTGGGGCTGATGAACAAAGCTCATTTATAGCAATTTAGCAGCCTAAAAGGTGGCCCTTTGTGTACGGAACAAGGGCCCAAAGCACCAAGCATTGGTTGATGATGTTCCCAGCGAACTCAACCTTTAGTTCGGGGGATTTTCCAGCCGCGTTTGAGTACCAATGAGGGACATGAAACCAACCATTGATTGGAATATGACCTTAAACTTTGTTGATTATAACTTTGGACTGACTGGAAATCCCCCACATGACTGTAAACTCATAGAATTTTTATAAAGGTTTTGATATATGTTATATGATGGGATCTGGACGAGTTGTAGATCAACCTCACAGCCACTTCTCAGTGTTTTTTCCTTACTCCAGGTGAGCGAATTATTACAATGTATCCAGGTTAGGGATGTAATGAGATATGATGGGATAAACCATTCCCATTCACCAATCATTTGGAGATAATTTTACCACATCCCATAGTGATTCCAATTGGGGATAGGAATCCTGTTGCACCATGATTCTCCATGTAAAAACTACTCGTCTCCCACTCGTCTCCACTATTTTGTCTCCACTATTTTGTCTTTATCTACCCTCTGGTAATTTAACAGTTCGCTATTGAAAACAGCCATAGAAATAGTGGATTTTCCCATGAAACATGGTGATTTTCCATCGTTTTTTGCATGTTTACCAGGCCGGGTCATCTGTAAAGGGATCATGTTCAAAAGGATAGAAAAAAATCAAATTGCCATAGGTCAACAGACTCAACATTTCGTCAACAGTGACGGATCCATTTTTTTTGTTTCACGGCTCGCCAAACGTGATGCTCTTCATCTTGGGGACAGAAACACTGGCCTTTCTTGGATCAGAAATGATGATAATCTGGGGATTTGACTGATCGATTTTTCAATCAGATCGATTTTTTAGATTCGGATTAGGGAATCTGTTTTTCAGACTATCCAGATGTGTTTTTTTTCAGAAACCGATTTTCACGAGTCAATTATCCAAAGTGGCCGGAATCCGCAAGGGATTTGACAACTGCCCTAGGTATGCGATGCAGCTTCCGTATCAGTGGGACTTTAAGGATCCCTTCGAGGACTTAAGGAATCTCGGCTTGATTGCAGCTGCCTGATAGAACAACACATCGGCACCAAACATTGATTGGATCCCTAACGTTTGCAACAATTTTGAGCTTAAACAACGGCTGGATTTCCTTTATAGTTAACCCCAACCATGAGCAGTTGACAAAGAGATCACCTGAGGGCTGCCATTGAGACGTTGCGCGGCAAGATTCACGGCATCGATGCCAGAGAGTTGCAACAGAAAGATAGCTGCTGGGCGAATATCGACAGTGGGTATCTACAGATCAACTTGGGATCAAACGATTGAATTCAACTTGACCATTTCTAATATTAAATCATCAAGTCTTAAAGGGTTGATGATTGTGAAGCATATCTGGACATGGGCGGAACAAGGAAAAGCGTGGCCACCGAGACAATTCGGGACGTAAGGAAGAATTTGGCATAGATTTTGATCGGCGATTCTGGTTGTTTTTGGTTTTAGCAAGGGGGTCTTATTTCGAACTGCTCCCATCTGTGGTATTTGCTGCAGCACAGTAGCAATGCACCAATCAACACTGCAAAAGGCCCAAAGGAACTTTGTCGGTAAGTATGACCAATGACGCCGTTGATGCATCAAAAAGCAATGGGAGTTGCTTTTCAAATGAACCTAACCATGAAGTCTGAAAAGTCGTTTTTTGGACTATCATACTACGTCCAGCATCTCCTAAAATTCCGAAGCCAAAACTCACCAAACAACGAGCAACCACCATGGCGCGGTGATCCTGGTGCGAGGGGAACATGCCACTGAAACCGCACGCCTGGTCCGCCTTCGCAGCCTGGGTTGCTGCTGGTTTGGCTAGGAATTCTCAGCATGGAACCAGCTGAGGTAATTTGAAAACCAACTGAACAGTTCTGTGATTAGGATTCGCTGCCAAAAAAAGGGCCGAAAGGAAGTAGGCATGGATGATTGACTCACGAAACCATCGGTTTTGACAACCCAAAAGGCAATCGAACCAAAAAACATTGGGCTACATCAGGCACATTGGAACATCCATACAAAGTTTGAAAATGGAGTGGTTGCAATTTGATTTCACAACAAACATATGTAGCTCAACGCTGGAATTCACGTGCGGAAAGTCTCCCAGTTCGCAGAATTTTCAGGATTAAGTAGGACATTTTGGACATTTGGATATTTTGGACATGGTTTGTCTTTTGGGATGGTCTTTAAAACCCCTTTTTGGAAAAGATTTTCCGAGATATCGAATGATATCGATCCCACGGCACCAGATATCGATGCCAGTAGTGAATTCGACCCGAGGCTGGGTAAAGATTGTGAAGGATTGTGAAAAGCCGTTGAAATCGGCCGTCGCGCGCTGCCTGGACTGGTGGCGCATGCATTTTGGTGGCGAGTTCCCGGTGTACATTACGAAGTTCAGCGGATGGAAGAAATTCGCCAAAGACATCGGAAAGGAAGAGACGCGGGAACTCTTTGGCATGTCTCAGTCGCATGGCGTTTCAGAAACGGGACCAGGGGATTGGCCAGGAGTTCCTGAGAATTGATGTGGTAAATCCAATGCCATAAATCATCCCCAAGTCATCACATTGTTATGGGTGCTATAAACCATCCCCATGGTAGGTTTATGACAGTTTCCCACATTGTTTGTCTATTTTTTTCCGGGGTTGGTTAATGTTCTATTTTTTCCGCATCACCTAACTATTTGCAACAGACATTTAAAAGTGATGTTCAAAATCACCAAACCCAGTATTTTTTGGATCTCAAACCGCTGAACTGTTTCGGTGGAGGTTTGCATATGTTGGAAATCCTGAGGATCGCAAGATCGCATCATGGATCGTGTACCCAAACTTGACATAAGGGGGCCCCAAGACATATAAACATCCACTATCAACAACCTAAATTAAGATGATTTTCCAACTTTTTGGGACGGTCCAGTTTGAAACTCTTTCTCCCTCCCTATCAACTTCAGGATGAGCTTAATCTGTCACTAATATTCTAGAAGACAAAGGTTTTCGATTTAGAATGGTTCCAGGCACCCCCACGATGGGAAACCCAGGGCCACCCTTTGTGATTTTTCACATCCGTGAGAACGATAAGAAAAGGAACCCAGGTCCCATGGGGGTCCACGGTGCCTCGACTGAAAAAACACCGAAGAGGGATCTCATCATTTTGATCGACGGTCTTGTTTGTGCTAACGCCGCCCATGACGACGTGGTCTCTTTTGGCGGTTTTTGGCAACCAATCCCTTTGGGACTGGACGGACAGCAGTGGCGCTGAAAAAAGTTGCCAAGGATTGGTGGCAGTGCCACAAGTGATGGAACACTTGAAAGAAGTTGTTTGACCAGCACAGACCGCAGAGAAAGGAGAAGTGAGTTTGCATGACCATGAGATGATGTTCATGATTAATCATGATTACAGAAAACTGTTGGTTGAAGACCAAAAACCTTCAAACGTCTCGCATCCGCGTTCCCTTGTTTACAAAGGGGATGTTCCTTTGTGGGTTTGTCCCAGATCCCGGGAATCAACCACATGATCAATCATTTCCGGATGTGATTGTCATTTGTCCTAAGGAGACCATTCTTTCAGAGGGTGCTAGATCCGGAAAATCCGAACGATAAGATGGCTATCGAGGCAAGGCTTGGGTCCCTAAGACACCCCAAAAAACTGATGTGGCTTATATTTTTTTCAGAGGACATGATCTCCTTGGTTGGGTCATGACAAGTTTGCATTTGGATTTGAACATAGGGTACCCAATTTGGGGATCAAACAACAACTTATCATTTTTGCAACATTTTCACCACCCTTGAATATGGCATCCCAAAAAATGTGGATTATCATTTTTTGTTTTCTAACAAAAATGTAATTTTCGGATCTCGACATTTTCACGACCCCTGTGCAGGAACATAACAACAAGAAGGCGGGCCAACATTGAAGGGGTCAGCACGACATCCCTAACCTTGGAGAGGTCGTTTAATCGTTTCGTTTTTTGCTATACATGGAACAAACATAACCAGCAAAGGATGTGTTTTTGTGAACTGCCAAAGATTGACTATGGATAAAAGATGAAGGTGGGACAAATTTTTACAGCACATTTTTCTTAAATTTATACCAGTAGTACCGGACAAGGCGGTGGCGGAAGTTTCAAAAATAGGAAAACCTATAGGAGCGGTTGGTTGTTGTGAATCACGGATGGCACAGCGAAGCCGCTATAGGTGCTTGAGGGCTCCTCTCTTTCTCTCTCTTTATCTGACTATCTACTTACCTACCAGCCTATCTTCTATGTATCTATGTATCTATCTCTCTATCTATCTATCTATCTCTCTCTCTCTCTATCTATCTATCTATCTATCTCTCTCTCTCTCTCTATCTATCTATCTATCTATGCGAATAGAGTGTAAGCTACGGACCAATGTACATTATCACATAAGTCACTCTAAGACTCGAAGCCAAAGGGTTGTGACAATCGCCCTTTTGGCTCAAGACCCACTGCAGCAACAGGGAAAAGGAACGCCATGCGGAAGCTGTCGTCGTTGTGAAGCCATCACTGGAACAACAAACATCAACATCAATTACTGGAATATAATCGGACAGGCAATCCCCGATTTGCAGGTTATCAGCCGTAGGACTCCTACGGAGCCTACGAGCGGGTAGCCGTGGGCCTTACAGATGACTGAACAGGATAGCAGCGATAATGCATTTTCTTTCTCTGGACATGCCGTTGCACCAGCTGCCGGCACGCAGTCAAATTCTTCACAGAGTATCGACACTGGTGGAAGCGATGCCTCAGAATTGAGAACAAGCCAACCCAGGCGACAACTGGTTGCTCCTAGAGGGAGACAAATTTCGACAATGCAAGCAATTGAAGATAGGGACAGCACACCTGGAAAGAGAAGATCATCTGCACGACAATTGTCGCCTCCGATGACTCCAAGGACCAAGGCAAAGACTACGTCGTCGAATCCGCCTTCACCGATTCAGGACGCTACTCCATCAGGGACAGGATCTTATCAACAAGTGAACGCCCCATCAAGTGGTAGCGACATCTTCACTGCCTATCAGAGTGAATTAGCTGAATACAAGACATCACTGGAAAGGGCCACTGAAGAAGAATCCGTACTTCAGGCAAGATTGAGCGAGACGACAGCATATGCCTATCAACAATTTAATTTCTTGGAAAGCACCACTCATCAAGAGATGATGTCGATGACCGAACAACTCCAGATGCTGAACTTCGAGTTACAGGCTGCACAACAAGAAGATGAAGGTGCGACCTACAGGATCGAAGAGTTGGAAAGGTATCAGACTATGTCGAATGAAGCTGCATCTCATTTGGAATTCAAATATTCACGACTACGTTCGGAATTCGATGAACAAATGGGACAAGCAAACGCAATTATGGTACATGTGGGAACTGATGCGAATGCTCACATTAATCAACTCAGACTGGAACTGGAAAACGCAGAGATGAATGCCAAGCAAGAAGCTCTAGCAGTCGGCTATGCTAATGACCAAACATGTGCTTTGCAGATCGAGATGCTCGAGGTTGCCAATCAGAACCAGACGATGAAGCACACCATGGCCATGAATGTCAGGCGACTGGAAACTGAGTTAGATGCTGCTGACATGAAGAGGGACGAGATCATGAAGGAGTTCCGTAGTAACATAAGATCTGAACATGACCGTTATGCAGAATGTGAACATCACTTAGCTTTGGAAGAATCACAGCTTCGATTACAGGTGATCCACAGTGAGAACTTACAATCTCGACTAGCGATTTCTGAGAACAGGGTTTCTGAAGAATCTCTAGCTGAATCAGGTGGCATGCGGGACATGAGGATCATGGGACTACGTTCTGAACTACACATGAAACAAAGTCTTTTAGATCGAATGCAACAGCAACTGACTGAATCGAAGAATCAGTATCATGAACTTTCCTGTCAACAAGCCAGAAGATCTTCACCGAGCAGATCACCGCATGGAGGACCTCTATACGAGATGTACATGCAAGCCGTGCGTGAACGTGACAGCTTGAAAGAATCCAAGGCCGAAGTTGACAAGTTGTACTTGCGGAATAGATCTGAACTCATTGATACTGAGGACCTGCTCAAAGTATTCCAGCGAAATTTTGATGAAACTGGTAAGAAATATCAAGATGCTCTGAACAAGATCGATCACATGAGCAACAATCCGAATGTGACGAGTACCTTGTTTGACAGTTTGCACAATGAACTCAATGACAGGGATACAGCTATTGCTCGCCTTCATACTGAACTTGAAGCCCAAAAGGACTCCCTTGAGCGTGCTCACAGGGATGCAGGTAAGTCCATCAAGATGTTGAACGACAGAAGACTCGTGATCAAAGGTGCGACTGACTATTCCATTCCTGAAAGCCATTTGACCGAGATGCATCAATTGGCCAATGAGCGTTACGCTGAGGTAGAAGAAATGTCGAGCACTATTGCTGCCCTGAAGTTGGAAAACCAAGCTCATTCTTCTTCATCAATGAATAGACCGACTACATTACATGGGTACCCCAGTAATGCCATGCCTCGGAATGAATGTGAAGAGAAGTGTGCCAAACTGAAAGCAGAGTTGGACGAGATGAAGCAAGAGAGGAACGCTGAAGTTCGAAATCTTCAAGATGAGTTGAAGAAGATGGAAGATCGTAAAGATTACTATAAGAACAATTTCTCTCAAGCTGAAGATCGTGCCAATGATGAAGAGCAGGAATACCGAGCAGAAGCTGAAGCCTTCGAGAAGCTCAGGAACGAGTACAACACAAATGTCAAGGAGTTGGAGAACCTTGAAAGGGATAGATCCAAGTCATCTGTATCTCTAAGAGAAGCCGAAAAGATCAGCCTCCAACCCTGGCCTAAGACCACTGAACTTTCATCCTGGAAGGGAAGTGTCGTTCATGAAGTTTGCGTTGCAAGTGGAGATCGAAACTATGAAGATTGGAAGGCGTGGTTAGCTCCGTGTCTTGCAGATCAACCTGACTTGGAGGCGCTGGCCAAAGCTCCTGATGTGAGATTCCAATCCATTGATGCCAAGCTCTCCAATGCCTTGAGGAAAGTCATTGACAATGCTGGGGACAAGTCCATGCAAGTGAAGTATGACATGTCCATGAAGAACCAATTGTATGGGAGAAGTGGGGACTTCATCAAGGGACGAGAACTATTTGCAATGATATTGATTAGCTTCAAGTCACCTGACCACACTGAAGTTCTCTACAATGCCCATCATTTGTATATGTTCAACTACTATGGAGATGACCAACTTGAGGCCTTCTACAACAAGTGGCTTGACATCGTATACAATATGAAACATGATGATCTGCCTTCCAACAATTCCCTGCGTGACACATTGTTCCGGAAGATTGAACATTCAAAACTTATGGCCTTCGATATCAACCGATACAAAACCTTTGATGAAGGGCATCATGAGAAGACCTATGCTTACCTAACTGGTATGATCAAGGGATACATAGCACGAGGGAAGCAAGAACGACTGTTGAAAGATAGAGAACGTGCAGTGAAACTGTCATTGTCCTCTAACAAGACGACACCTGCCTTAGAAGATGCAGACAAGCCTGCCGCTCCCGTCAAGACCAAGAAGGAGAATGAAGCGGCCGCATCGTCTACAGGTGATCCTCCCAAACGTCCTAAGGCGAAAGCGAAGAGTGAAGCTGCATCGGTACTTCCTACACCTTCTCCGAAATCCCATGCCGACAAGAACAACAAGAAAGGCAAAGGTGGGAAGGGAAGATCATCTTCACCCGTTGACAAGAAGAAGATTTTCTGTAACTACTTCTTCAATAAAGGAGGATGCAACAAAGGTGACAAATGTCTTTACAGTCATTCTCAGAAGGTCTATGATGCCAAGATGAAAGGTAAGAAAGGCAGAAGCGGAAGTCGAGATTCATCAAGAGGGAAAGGTAGAGGAAGTTCATCTTCAGCTGGACCCAAAAAGAAGGTATGTTGGAATTGGCAAGAGGGTACCTGCAAGTTCGGAAGCAAATGTAAATTCCTGCATGCAGATAAATCGCCTTCAGCATCCTCAGAGAGAACCAGCAAGAAGACACCAAAGAAGAAGGCGACTCCCATTACCATTGATTCCTTCTTTGATAGCGACAATGAAGATTCTATGGATTATACCTCACCGAGGATAGCCAGCACAAAGAAGTCTTCTGATGATCGCAGGATCTCATTTGATCTGGAACCTGAAGTGCACGAGATCGCCATTGAGGACTACCAGGAGGGACTACCCAAACGTACGTATCGTGACCCCAACAATCAGTATGTCTTCTGGAAAGTCGATGATTTAACCGACGATCAGTCCAAGTCCGACAACACCCTCGGTTCAGTCCGAGCTCGGGCAAAGGCTATCATCATGGACAGATGTGGACTCCATCGTTTTGTTGATGAAGTTAGAATCATTATTGGCCCCAAGTTCGACATGTTGATCAAACTGGACAATGATCGTGATGACTTGACTTTTATTGAAGAGCTTGTTGAACACAAAGTTGGAAACTCCCTCATGAAGTCCAAGAACATAATGTGCATTTCACTACCGGTGCAAGCCACAGATCGTAGATTCATCCTGGATTCTGGCAGCGGGCATGATCTGATTTCTGCAAGGAAAGCCGAAAGGATGAACTTGAAGCAGCGAACTTGTGATCCTATCATGTTCCACACAGCCAACGGTTCAACTGCTACTCAGACAGAAGCAGAGATTGACCTGGGAACCTTTGATGTGACCTCTCATGCCTATGTACTGGACGACACTCCGTCCGTGATGTCTCTTGGGAAACGATGCATGGAAGAAGGATATTCCTTTGTATGGCCATCTGGTCAAATGCCTTTCATGATTACGAAGAATGGAGAACGCATCGATTTGACAATCCATGACAACATCCCC